TATGGATCAGTACTATCCGAGCCCACAGGTAGTAACCGGGGGATATAAGCAGGTATACCTATGATCAGTACTATCCGAGCCCACAGGTAGTAACCGGGGGATATAAGCAGGTATACATATGGATCAGTACTATCTGAGCCCACAGGTAGTAACCGGGGGGTATAAACAGGTATATATATGGATCAGTACTATCCGAGTCCACAGGTAGTAACCTGGGGGGTGGTATAAATAGGTGTATATATATGATCAGTACTATCCGAGCCCACAGGTAGTAACTGGGGGGTATAAGCAGGTATATATATATATATGGATCAGTACTATCCGAGCCCACAGGTAGTAACCGGGGGGGGGGGTATAAATAGGTGTATATATATGATCAGTACTATCCGAGCCCACAGTTAGTAACTGGGGGTTTGGGAGCAAATCTCCCAAAGCTAAGGGGGCTCTACTGTGCCACCAAGTTAGATACATTGAAAGCTGATTCTTTTCCACCTTTTCACTTCTGTTTTTTTTTCCTCAGAAGGGTCTTACTTTGTCACCAAGGCTGGAATGCAGTGGTGAGATCTTGGCTCACTGCAAGCTCTGCCTCCAGGGCTCAAGCAATCCTCCTACCTCAGCCTCCCATGGAGCTGGGACTACAGGCATCCGCGACCACGACCAGCTAATTTTTGTATTTTTGGTAGAGAAGGGGTTTTGCCATGTTGCCCAGGCTGGTCTCGAACTCCTGAGCTCAAGTGATCTGCCTGCCTCGGCCTCCCAAAGTGCTGGGATTACAGGCGCAAGCCACCATGCCTGGCCTGGCCTTTCCACTTCTGTCAAATGCTTTTCATGACCGACGTTTCACAAATAGAATTACTCACGTTTGCCATATTCCTAGCGTAACAGAAGCCAACCACAATAGTCCGACAATGAAGAATTTAGGCAAATAGAAAGTTAAACACTTTCTTTCTCCCTAAAAAGAAAAAAAACAGTAAGAAATAAAGAAAACCAAGTTGGTAATTCTACATGATGTGCATTTTTTCGTTGAGTATGGGTCTGCAGATGGGTTTTCATGGAGAAATTCAGCTCTTGGGCTGCTGTCAAGAGTTGGGAGGGGAAGAGACACAGTCTGTAACCTCCCAAGGTGGTGCGGAGGGCTGCGGCTCACCTGGACGCGAATCCCGTGGTACACACAAAGCCAGAAGAGCAGCAAGGCGCACAGAAACATAGACTGAAAGAGGTCATCCAGCATCCCCGGGAGCCAGCTGTTCACCAGGAAGGAGAGGGGGAAAAACGGATCTGGAACGCAAAAGGCAGAAACGCATGAGGGAGACAGAGTCCACCAGCACCCAGCAGAGAGCACCCCGTCCATTTGTGGGGTCGGAACCCATGACCGGCTTTTCTCCCTGGTCAGAGCCAAAGGAAAAGCAGTGAACTGAGGGCTATTTTGTTTTCCCAAACACCTAAAAGCCAACGAACAGATTGCTGCACTGATCAATGACGGAGCACCGTATGCCGCTGCCATCAGCTCCTCCCGGAGCCTGGGGGTTCCAAGCGCGGCAGCTCCGGAAGCAAATGCTTTTGGAACAGGACATGAGGAACAGCCAGCCGTGTCTGGCCACCTTCAGCCAAGTTCCAGGACTGCTGTGTCTGTAGCACATCCAAGTTTTAACTACCAAACAGCTGCCTGTTTGTTAGAGAGCCAGGTATCTGCCCCAGCTTGGTGGAACACGGTTCCTGGGGCACCAGGGAGCATACTGCAACATGCTCCTTCTGGAGCTCCCTACCGGCTCTTCTGGGCCCAGGCCATCTCCAAGATGCCTTCCAGCTTTACTTAAGAGTCTTACTCTGTCATCCAGGCTGGAGTGCAGTGGTGTCATCAAGACTCGCTGCAGCCTCAGACTCCTGGCCTCAAGTGATCCTCCCACCTCAGCCTCTCAAGTTGTTGGGACCACAGGTACGCATCACCACGCCCAGCTAATTTTATTTTTTGTAGAGTCTTGCTATGTTACCCAGGCTGGTGTTAACCTCCTGGCTTCAAGCAATCTTCCTGCCCCAGGCTCCCCAAGTGCTGGGATGACAGCACGCCCCTGCACCCGGCCTCCAGCTTGACATTTTCAAGGAGAAAGTTCCTAAGTGAAAATGGAACCACCTACCATTGTAAAGTAGCAGCAGAGGCAAGAGGACAGACATCCACTTCTGCTCGATGCCCCAGTCTCTCATGGAAAATTTCCGGAGCGAATGCGCAAACAGGCACTGCAAACCAAACCAGCTCCAGTCACTGCCTTTGCTCATACCTTGCTTGCGTACCAGGCTGTCTTCTCACATCAATGGTCTCGGTGCCCCGCTAAGATCCGCTGCCTTAAGCCCCAGCTGAATTGCCTACTGTGTCCCGGAGGCCATCAGTGACAACCAAAATAAGGTTGTTACTTTCTGCAGAGGAGCCACAGCTAAGACTGGTTCTGAGCTGTTCTCACAGGAGGAGGAGAGAAGAAGGAATTTAACAGCCATAAATCCCCTGCAGAAGGAAAGAGCACCCACCGTCTCACCTCTACCGGTGAAGAAAAGAGGGTCCGCGTCCATCGGGCCTGCCCCCAGAGAGCCGGCACACAGAAGGGCCCACCCAGGACACAGGACACACCCATGGGTGTGACGGAAGCCACGTTCCCGGCAGTGCAACTGCTACAGATGGCACCAGCTTCCAGGATGGCGGCAGGGCTCACCAATGAAAAGCCAAGAAGAAAGGAGGCTTGTAACAGTGGTCAGGGGATGCATTTCTTCTCAAACACCTCCCTGAGGAAGGTGTGTTAGCCAGTGAAAGAAGCTTCTTTAAACTGCTTTAAACACTCTACAACTTGTAATTTTTAGACCAGGGTTTTGTTGTTGACTGTTTTCTTACAATCTGACATAAGCCAATGGTTTTCTAGGCAAAACAGATTTCCTTGCCTAGAGACCATCTTCCCTCTTTTTAACAACATACTTGGGGCCCTGAGTAATAAATAGCTCTTTGGGCTCCACAGTGTGGCAGCAGAAGCTCAGGCATCACAGAGCTTTCGAGAAGAGGCAAGAGTTTCTGACTGCGCAGACACAAACACCAGCTTTTTGCTTTCATTTATGAAACTCACTGGGGGACCTGGAATCCTGGAGGTCCTGGGCTGGGCCTGAGCACCACAACCTCCAGCTTTCTGTGGTTCTAGCACCCACGCCTTTCCCTCCAGCTTCGTGGCTCTAGCACCCATGTGACATCCTTCCCCCCAACTCCCTGTGACTCCAGCACCTACACCCTTCCCCCAGCTCCCTTAGGCTCCAGCACCCACACCCTTCCCCCAGCTCCCTGAGGCTCCAGCACCCATGCCCTTCCCCCAGCTCCCTGAGGATCTAGCACCCATGCCCTTCCTCTCTGTGGCTCCAGCACCCACGCCCTTCCCCCCAACTCCCTGTGGCTGCAGCACCCACACCCTTCCCCCAGCTCCCTGTGGCTCCGGCACCCACGCCCTTCCCCCAGCTCCCTGTGGCTCCGGCACCCACGCCCTTCCCCACAACACCCTGTGGCTGCGGCACCCACACCCTTCCCCCAGCTCCCTGTGGCTCCGGCACCCACGCCCTTCCCCCAGCTCCCTGTGGCTCCGGCACCCACGCCCTTCCCCCTAACTCCCTGTGGCTGTAGCACCCACGCCCTTCCCCCCAGCTCCCTGTGGCTCCAGCACCCACGCCCTTCCC